TTTGTTTATTTTAGATTTCCAGACAGATGCTTTATGCAATACGGAAATACGGAGTAGTATTTATTTAAAAAAGAAAAATATAGCGTTGACGTTTTTCTTTTATTTTCTTTTCTTTAACAATAACTGAATAACAATTCCTCCTGAATTGAATCAAAAAAAGAAAAACAATTCCTCCTGAATGGACGCCCTCATCATCTTCATCGTCACCATGCTCGCCCGTTGACCACAATCCCCAACGTGATTTTCGATCGCTGCGTTTCTTCTTCATTTTCATCTGGAATCATGTTTCCGGCTCTTTCATCTTAGATCCGTCAATTTCTCAACAGGGGCAGGTATGTGCGAAATTGCGAATGACTTTCATCACCTCTGCTTTTGTTTTTTGAAATCTTAGGATATTAGCATGATTCTGTGAAAATTTTAGGGAAATTGGAGAACATTATATATATTTTCCGCATTAGGGATCCGCCATGGGAGGAAACGAGGCGGTGAAGGTGAAGCTCGACGACGAGCAGATAGCGGAATTGCGGGAGATTTTCCGGTCATTCGATCGCAACAACGACGGAAGCTTGACTCAGCTGGAGCTCGGATCGTTGATCCGGTCGCTCGGCCTCAATCCGAGCACGGATCAGATGGATTCGCTGATCCAGAAGGCCGATAGGAACAGCAACGGCTTGATCGAGTTCTCGGAGTTCGTCGCACTGGTGGAGCCGGAGCTCATCCCGGCCAAGTGCCCGTACACGGAGGAGCAGCTGCTGAAGATATTCCAGATGTTCGACAGAGACGGCAACGGGTACATAACGGCGGCGGAGTTGGCGCATTCCATGGCCAAGCTGGGCCATGCCTTGACGGCGGAGGAGCTGACGGGGATGATCAAGGAAGCGGATACTGACGGCGATGGTTGCATAAACTTCCCTGAGTTCGCTCAGGCCATAACTTCTGCTGCATTTGATACTTCCTGGAGTTGATCTCGAATATCTTCATTCCCTCCATAGCCTCCATCTTTTAAATCCCCCCCCCCTTTTTTTACCATTTTGCCATGAATGAATTTAGTTTTGATTATAGTTCCATAAGGCAGTTGTTTAATGGCAAATCACCTTAATATTATGGGTAGTACCATAGTCCATAGCCCCTACATTGTGTTGGCACTTGGCACTTCTGCTTTTTACACTCACTTTTTCCTTTATCCCAAACTCATCTATAAATGGTTGTAAGTATTCTAAGATTATCAATATTGTTTGGCTTGGTGATTGTGTGATTAACATTCAAAAACTGTGGATTTAGTTGCTATTATGATTATGATGATTATAGTTTGATCTGCAAATTGTGTTGTGGCATGAACTTGCCTTCTTTACGCCACCAGCATCCCTATATAGTACACATATATAATATCTATTTCAAGGATGAAAATGTTAAACTTATCGGGTTTTTCGGCCATTTGGTAACATTGTTTTTCGGCTTATCGGGTTTATCAACCAACTTTTTCATCAAACACGAAATTTTTGTTTTCGCGCGCTAAATTGTGTAATAATGAGAAAAAGTAAGGTTGAAGTTACTTTTCCGACTGTATTGACTGAAGTTACTGTAGATGACCATTTTAACTATCTTTACATATAACTTTTTCTATACTTTATTAATAAAATATATTTTTATTTTTTTTTCTTAAATCAGCAAAATCAGTCAATGTAGCCACTTCAGCCAGAACTTCTTAAATTTCAGTAGAATCAGTCGATTTTTGTGTTACCAAACAGGTATCCTCGTGAATTAGTCTTCCGACCATACCTTCAATCCAATGTCTAGAAAAAAGATATCAGGTATGTTATGTATATTTAGAGTTTTTGATATAAAACTTTATTTACTTTGTTCATTAATGGTTCAGATATACAATTAAAGGTCAAACATCGATTTTGAAAAGATAATCTGTAAAGATACATGGATCATTATTATAGTTATCTACGGAGTATCACATAAGCATCCCCAAGTCATCTAATTGGTGTTTTAAAAAGCTACAAAAAAATCAAGGCATCTCCAATGAAGAGACAAAATGCGCTACCGGTGGGCGTAGCTCAACTGGTAGCGAGGGAGTGCCACAAGGGTTAGGTTTCGGGTTCGAATCCCGGCAACTGCGATGAAGGGTTACTATGCTGAAAAGTGCATAAGCCACTGCAAGCACCGGAGACAGAGCTCCACTCTCTATCTGTCAGATTGTGATTATAGTGCAATTTACATTCTCCCATCGTGCCGTCCGATCGGTGTTGGGAACCCTCAGGGATGAGCATCTTTTTTTTACAAAATGAGCTAAAATGCTTTCACGATCACCGAACGCACCCATTTTTAATGATTGCTTTTATTTTTCATAGTGACTGACGGCCTTCTCCCACATTGAAGTATAAGAAAAGAATGGACCTATTTTTTTTTATTTTGACTCACATACTCAATAGACTTATTGCACTGTCTGACATCATAGCACCAATGCACTAAAAACATCAGCAGTGCCCTCAAAGCTACATAAAATGTAGACGAATTGGAAAATTCTAAACCCTCGACACTAGACATAGCTATATTGACTCTGAGATGACTATTTGAGGCTCTACATCATCCTTAAATTGTTTGAGATCATACTGTGATTTATCTCTCTTATAGAATCAGGACGTGGGCACCTCAAGTGAGAGATTTCATCTTTCTGAATTGACTGGTTAGGGCAATACATCCACTACCCCTCCTACCCCTCCCTAACACTACAAAAAAACACGCGTGTAGTCACGGACCGTAGTCACGGATTTGGTCCGTGACTAGTTTAGTCACGGACTAGTCACGGAAATTAAAAAAAAAAAAATAGTCACGGTCTGGACCGTGACTATGGCCGTGACTACAATTAGTCACGGTCGTGGCCCGTGACTTCATTTAGTCACGGTTATGTGGCGGTGACTTCATTTAGTCACGCCCATTAAGTCACGGTATTAGTCACGGCCAGCGAACGTGACTAACTCATTTAGTCACGGAATTTTTGAACTGGCCTCCGTGACTACCTCCGTGACTACACACGTGTTTTTTTTGTAGTGTAAATTAGACTGGCACCATCCTTTTTCTTCCAATTCGTAAGGATTACCATTCCATTTCTTTTAAATGGAAGAACATTTTTCTAGTTTTGACATAAATCTTAGGTGTACATTTTCTTTTTTTAGTAATATGTGTACCGAAACAAAATGAAGGTGGTAATTATATTGAGGATGGAGAAAACCATTTTTGTGAAGATAAGCTATTGTGCTTGGTCTAGCTATTGACGTACAATGGTATAACAATTGTGCATAAGATACTACCTCTTCCCATGCTGAAAGATATATTTGAACTTAGTATGAATTTTAATAAAACAATTGTATTCATATTTATTGAAGTACTAGTTGTGTTACGCGCATTGCGCGACAGGGAAATGCAGGGCCGTAGATGAGGGCGTGCAAAGCGTGCCTTTGCACAGGGCCTCCAAAAATATAAAGCTCATTTTTTTTGTAAAATCTATATAGTGTATATATATAGGGTAATTATTTTTGAAAATAGTTGATTAATTTATTTGCTTGAATGATCCAACTATTCACGTTATCCAATCAAAGGTAAAAAATTCACTTTTTCTTATCCTATTTTCATTCGTTCATTTCTGATTTTAGTTTTTTTTTACTAACTTTATTTGTTCAAGATTGAAAAAGTGATCATTTCTCAATCTCACATTTGTTTGTAGTTTTTTGAGTTTTCTTAAGGTTGATTTTTGGTATAGTATTGATTTAATATAAGGTTTATTTTTAGTGACTTGCACCGGATCTCCTAATATATTGAACCGGCCCTGGGGAAATGCCCAATAATATGACTCAACAGTGCCATTTTCTTCCAAATTCACTAATAACAAGAAAACCATTTAAATAAAATCACAAATTTTAAAAGTTGTAATCTTCACTCAAAATGACCTAAAACATATATTCAACATGGGAAAACACACTTGTGGTTAATTAGCAAATATATACACGAGAATCTAAATTAGAGTATATATGAATTGAAAAAAGTTTCATATTTACAAAAAACATTGACGTATACAAATTTACAAATTACAAACATCAAGACTGCTTCAAATAAAATTTCACTTTTCCAATTAAATATAAATACGGAGTATACAATAAAATCACAAATCGTGAACTTCATGATTTAAACAAATACGTAGTACATTTTTAAGTTATTATTTTCTTAAACAACGTCAATTGATCTGTATACAAATGCATGGTCACCATATTTTTTTTCTTATTAGCAAGAAAACACATGAGAGGCAATGATAATATGCTCAACTTAAATATCAATATATCATTAAAGGTCATTGAAACTTAGAGAGTGTTTGCAAGAACTATAAAAAAAAGTTTTCAATTATCTACTTTAAGAAAATCAAATGTGCATTTTTAAGTGACAATTTTTTTCTTAAATTAAACACTCAAAAATTAAAAACTGAAAGCAAGTAGAAGGTTTAAACTGTGTTTCTTTTACTTATTCAAAAACTTTTTTTGAAACACGACGAACTTTTACTATTAATCATTTTCTCTAAAATCACTTTAATAATTTTTTTTAAGTAGGAGCAATCACAAACATGTTTTTAATCTCATTGAAATTGGATATCGATGTTTTTTTTTGGATTGTTTTCAGTCCCAGACCAGACCAGACCAGACTTAAACAGACCAGATAAAACCAGACCAGACTTAAACAGACCAGACCAGACCAGACCAGACTTCCGTAGTTATAAAATATACAGAGATCAGACGTTTACCAGACCAGACCAGACCAGACTTAAACAGACCAGACCAGACCAGCAAATATCAATCCAAAAGAAAATATCCATACTCCGTATGAGCTTAGTAATCTTGGCATTCCATGTCCAATCAAACAGTTCATTAAAATCAATAGCTCAATAGTTCATTCAGAAATGCTATACGTACACACCCCCTTACACACCCCCTTACCCCCTTTATATACCCATTTAAATTTTTTTTAAAAAAATTCCCTCACCCCACGTGCCCAGACTAACCCGATTCACAAACCTCCCGCCTCCTCAATAGTCATACCAGCGTGCCTCTCTTTCTCTCCCGCATCCCCATGCTTCTTCAACTACTCCCACTCACCAGTCCCCTCATCTGCGAGAAAACACAGACGGCGAGCGATAGCCCTTAGCTTCCCTTCCCACAGGCGGCGACCGTAATCGAAGACCTTCTCCGCTAACTGTAACCGAAGACCTTCTCCGGATACCCTTCTCCCACACGAAAACGGACTGAAAGGCTCCGGCAATCTGCGAGCAAACGGCGAACAGCGAGCAAACCGACTGACCATGGCGGAGTGAGTTCTCTTTGAAGCATTTTTTTTTTTTTTGCCAAAGTGAAATCTTTATTAATAAAAAGAACAACCTAAAAAGTACAAAAGAAAATACAGAAGGGAAAAAAACGAGAACAAATTAAAAACAAGCTAAACATAAATACCCAACCCAAAGTATAATAAAAAACCCTCCCAAACTAAACTTTAACCCTCAGACACATCTTCATAGTTCCGCTCGAGTTTGAGATCTAGTTCTCATAAGATGTGATCGTTGATTCCTCTTCTTGTACATTCTTTTTTGGGTGTTTAAATTCTGAGTAGGCAGGCAATTATCTGGCGTAACCAATAGAGCTTTTTGACAAATAATCTCATTTGTATCTGAGTCCCAAAGATCCTCCATCGTTGAAAATGGAACCCTTTTTTCGTTTTCTGAGACATGACCAAGAAATTCATCACCCGAGATTATGGAATCCGGACCACCATAAAATTCATCACAGTCAAAAACATCAGAAAGGTTGCCTCTAGAAACCCCACCTAGATGAGCATGACCGCTTCTAATACCGCCACCTGAGTTTTCTTTTTGTTCTGTAGCATTCTCTATTTCAGAAGTTTTTCCATCATTACAGGATCCCATAGTCAAATTACCCAAAGTAGAAGTAAGAAGTCTCTCAAATTCACAAAGCAAGTAATGTGAAAGTGAGTCCACCCCATTTGTCAAAGTGTCATGAAAAAATTTTTTGAGTTGTGCAAATTCATCAGAGGTTTGCTCAGGTTCAATAATCATCAACGGGTTTTGGACATCTTCAATAGTAACCAAATCCAAAGAGCGATTTTCAAAACGGTCAATATCAACTTGAAGTAAAGCTCCTGAAATGGACAACTCAGTGTCCCAAGAATGAGGATAATCTCCATCAAAAGGTAGAAAGTCCAAATTCATACTCCTCGTATCCAAAACAACCTCACCCGAATCTTGTTCAATTGCTATATTTGAAGCAATTGAATTCATCAAGGTAATTGCTTTTGTTAACCCAGAAAGAAAAAGATTAATCCCATGTCCATTCCATCCCTCTGGAATAAAAAGTGAATCATATCCCCTCTCAATTATTCTGACAAATCCTCCAAAATAATTTGCATCATAAAATATAGTAAGGGATTTATGCAACTCCATCCTAGTACAAAATCTATTACCCGAAAAGATCTTGTGTATGGAGTCCTTCAACCATTTAACCCTAGCAAGATCAAGATTTATAGCAGAAGAAATTCCATTTTTCGATTCAGAAACGTGAATAGCATTGCAATCAATGATTTCAAAATGAAAACTTTTGCTTTCAATAAAAATATCAAACCCATTTTCCTCCTGTCGAATCATATTGTCTCTTGCCATTGCCCCCACATGCTTTGTACCAGGAATTCCTCTTCCATGGAAATCCCCCTGTTTCTGGTAATAGCTGCAAACATGGCTTGAGAACCAATCTGTTTGCCTAGGACGAGAGCTTCTTTGCAGACTTCTATCTGGCCGCAAACTCCAATCTGCCCGGCGGAAGGCCTGGGCCCGATCTCCACTCAACGAGGTGAGAGAGTCCCAGTGTTGAGGGCGTCGATTTCGTACAGGACGCCGCTGCCATGCCTCGCTTGAGCCGCACCTGCATCCTAAAGCCGGATGCGTTTGCTCCCTGCGCTGCCTGCCCCGTCTCTGAAACCGAGGATCCCTCTCCCGGAAGAAGTTCCCGGTTTGGAAAATTGGGCATCTCCCTTGCGGCGCCCAAGTCACGGATCTCATTCCCCCCGTTCTACCCTAATCTAATCAACCACTAAACAGTTTTGTCAATGTATATTTTTAAAAGAACCACCGTAGATTTTAATTACTATAACATCTCATTTTTTCCATTGACTAATTTTCTCTTTGAAGCATTTTTTGTTGTTTAGTTTTCATGGTCTGCACAAGCTTGTTTGTCTGCCTATGAATTTCAAAACTGTCGGTTCTTTAGTTTTTGATTTGTAAAGCTTATTAATGATGTTATTATGTGAGATTTGAGTTGAGTTTGGATGACTTTAGGCTTGTTGTGGATGTTGTGTGTGAACAATATGCATTTAACCAGTCTCTCTGGACGTATAAATCTACTTTATGTGTTGTCTGTAATTAATGTATTACTTGTACTCGTTTGCCTGCCTATTTGATGTTCTGTTTGTGTGATAATGGGGTTAAGTTCTTACATGTGAATCTTTGATAACATTGTTTACAAAACGGGTAGTTGTTTGTGGTGGTTGTGAAGTTGTCTGTGGTGTTTTATTTCATCAATAAGTAGTTGGGCTGGTCTGTATTTTACTTCCTAAGATTATGCATGTTCTCACCTTCTCTTTCTCATTAGTCAATTACTTTATACTCTTTTTCAGATTCCCAAGAGTATTGGAACTGTCTTTGCTAGTTTTAGATTTTATTTTCCATTGATTGGTTAATCTCAGTACCAAAAGACTATCCGGTCTTTTCTTGTTATTTTAGAGTATCATTTTACTTTTTAAAAAGAATGAAAAGGAGATGTTATTGGATCAAAATAGAAGGAAGAAAAAAGTGTAACACTTACTCGTATTGTTGGAGATTAGTTATTTTTAAATTACAAATCCAACATTTGTAGTTGGTTCAGAGTTGCATGTGGTACTTTACTTTGTGTATTCGTCAGTTGTTTGTGATGTTAATGTGTGTATGATTGTATCATTCGTAGGGCTTTGAAATTGCAAATCCGTGTTAGGGACTACTTCCCAGCTCAGTACTCTGTCTGCTCTGATTTCAAAGACGCGTCAGAGCTGTTGTGGTCCGCATTGACGTTGAATCAAATGCAGTTGTTTCGCAAAACGCCTTGGGGTCATCTGCACACTGCCCCAGACCTTAAATTTTGTGGGCAGCTCATCCATTTGTTATTGTTAAGGCTTGTCCGGGATCAAGCAGAAAATGAGCTTTGGTTTTGCATTGGAGGGAGGTTGCTGAAATTCACATTTGCTGATTTCTCCGGATCACAGGTCTCCATGATCCCACCCAAGGTGATACTGATGAAGAACATATTGATGAAGAACATACTGCGGGTGAAGAAACAGATGATGACCATACGGATGGCGTGATAGCAAAGTATTTTGGTGGATCTGGAAACATTTCGTTTAGGCAGCTAAAGGAGAAACTTCGGGACTTGAAGCCTTCTAATGAGGGAGATCCTATGGATGGCGTGAAGTTGGCATGTCTCTTCGTTGTGCACTGTGTTTTGCTGGCAAAGGATAAGACCACCAGAATCAGCACTCACCAACTGCACTGAAGTTCAACTTTAATCATTTCTACATTATAATTGTGTGTGTGCGTAGGGAGCCTGCTTGATTTTATGTTACTGTCTGTGTACAGACTATATACTACCCATGTCTGTCATCCACAACTACTCTGCCTCTGTACAGACATTTTCTAACCTTTCAAGAAACATAACTCCAAGTTTGTTAATTTGTAGTTTTCAAATGAATCATTCCCTGAACTAAGGCCACCTGCCCCAATTGACATTACTGAGTGGGAGGAAGTGGTTGTTGACGTCACACCTGAGATGAGAGGATGCAATGCGGCTTTGGTGGTTGAAGAAGTTTGATGCATAGATTGTCTTTGCAATACTGTGGTGGTTTCATTTTGTGTATATAATGTGGGTTTACAAACTTTGGCCCTTCCTTTTGCAGTACTATCGTAGTTTGATGTAGAATTTTGTACAACGTTGGGCGTGCATTGTTGTACAAGGTGCTACAACTTGTCTGTACTGGTTTGCAAATTGTCGGTGGCGCTTACAACATTGTCTGGCATTTTTTGCACATTGTCGGTTCATAAATAACATTTCCTGTAATATTTTGCAAAACGTTGGTGCCCCTTATAACAGGGGATTATAACAGCTGATGTAAATTTTTTTGCACATTGATGTACCATGTTTTCTAACATGCGGGAATTAGGCTTGGAAAGGCGTTTGTAATTTTTACTCTTTATTTAAATTTTCTATAATGTTTATAAAGATCACTAATTATATACATATCACTAATTATATACATGTGATATGTAACTATATCACATTTATATATCAAATTTTGAAATTCCCTACACAAATTAAATACAATAATGTTTAAAATTCACAAATTAATAGATATAGTGAAATTTTCATAAAACTACAAAGGCTGAAAATCACTCGACTAACATTAATATTTGTAGTATTAATTATAACAACAATTTTACTAACTATTAATTATAACAACAACAATTTTACTAAGTATAATGATAAGAATAGGTTTTTTTCAAAAATATTACTCAAATAAAACTTATTTAAAAAAACATGAGTAGTAGTTACATTCTATTTATAATACTTATTTATAAAAATATGTCATTTCACTTATGAGCAAAAATTGAATAATAAGTCACATAATTCACATTCTATCAACATTTGTAATAGTAATAATATAATAACAATAATGTCGATGAATAAGATCTCTTCTCTTAACATTTGACCCGACTAATTAATTAAGAACACTGGTGATGAGTACTTATGAAATATTAATTCTAAAATTCACAAAAAGCAACATCGTTTTTAAAAGTCATACAATTACAATGTATGAAAACCCATTGGTCGTTACGATTCACAACAGCGTGAGATCTAAATTTAGACCGTCGTCGTATTGTAAAGTCATGAAATTTGGAGCCGCACTAAAAGTGTCCAACACGGAAGTATGATCAAACCCGCTTGTACTCTCCAAGCCACCAGTATTATCAAAACCTCCACTCCCCTCAACAACGGCATTCACTGGTGTCTTCGATTTGTTCACGCCTCGTGGCTGCAAATATATACACAAATCAATACATATATATAACAATCAAGATAGTACATAAATCAATTTTTGTCTGTGCACACAATAATTCGAAAGTACACAGACAATAATGAAAAACTATAAATATGGACAATATAGTGTCTGTCTACAGACAACATGTGACAGTACCTTTGCTTTCTTTTTTGACTTCTCCAGTGGGCCCTTTTGACGATTTTTCCTTGGAGCACCCTTCCTTTTAGCACATTTGGGATCACGAATTGGTTGTGTATGCTCCGGGGCGAAAGTAGATTCCGTCATGGGCAATGGTGTCATCACACCACCAATGGAAGTTTGAACACATGACCCCTTATATTCCGTTAGTTGCTTTTCCAGCCATAGCATAACACTCTTGCACTTCTCCTCATCATCTGCAATAGTATTTGCAAGGCTTTCAAAGGCTGTACACAACTTGTCAAACCTTTGTTGTTCTACTGTGCTCACCCAGCCATCGTAATTGATTTTTACCCGTTTGTAGGCTCTTTTGATGTCCTTTCTCCATCTCGTCATTATGTAGAATTCGGGCAAGAGTTGCACTTCATTTCGAAGTAACACTACAATTAAATGTCTACATACAATGCCCCGAAACTCAAACAAGTGGCAACTACATACTCCTATAGTAGTTGATATATCAAACTCAACTATGAAGTCCGTAGTTTTCCCAAACCCATTCGCGACTCTATACTCTCTCACATTATATGTTTTACCATTCTCGGAATGTAGTAGGTCACAATACATCTTCCCAGTTACTTCACTCTGAAACTCCTTGAATTTGGCTAGCGTGTATAGGCCTTGCATTTGTTTTTCCATTGCAAAAATCGTGACACATGGAATCATTTTAGTGAATGAATGCGCATCTGCATGGAACTCTTTTTCCATTTTACACCTCAACGCCCTGCCATATTGCTCCACAAACTGCTTTAGACTTGTTTTAGAATTAACATAATCATCAAAGAAAGCGTTAATGCTTTCACTTCGTTGCGTGGTAGACATGCCTGCCCAAAATGTTGGCTTCAAGTAACATGGCACCCAACGATGTCTTTCATTGAACATCACCCCAAGCCATTCATCATTTTGAAGTGAAAACCTGTGTCACCAGAAAATGTATACACTGAACAGACAACTGATGATATATTGCACAGACAAATGTTTTATATTTAACAGACAACATAGACACTACACAGACATTGCATCATACACACCACAGACAAAATTATACAGACATGTACCTTTCCAGCATAGCTTTCCAGCCATCTTCAAACTCAGAAGGGTGTTGTGAGTCATAGACTAGGTCATGTATATTGTACATTATAAGATCTTTATCTGTCAGACCTCCCATTTTTTCTGGGAGCTTCTTCATTATATGCCATAAACACCAACGGTGTCTCGTATTTGGGAAGACAATTTGAATTGCATTTTGCATCGCACGGTCTTGGTCTGTTATAATACCCTTTGGAGCACACCCATGCATACAATCAAGCCATGCTTTAAAGAGCCATACAAAAGTTTGTGTATCTTCATTTGAGATTAATCCACAACCAAACAACATTGATTGACCATGGTGATTAACGCCCACAAAGGGGGCAAATGGCATGTCATAGCGATTTGTAAGATATGTTGTGTCAAAAGTGATGACATCCCCGAAATCTTTATAAGCATACCTACACCGGTTGTCGGCCCAGAAAACATTCCTCAACCGTGACTCCTCATCTAAGTCAACGGTAAAGAAAAAACCTGGGCATTGAGCTTGCATTTTACCAAAAAATTGTTGGATAGCCATTGCATCGCCACTTCCTAGCCTAAGTTGCCGAACTTTGTCTATGTAGTTCCGACAATCCTTTTCAATAAAAGGAAGCTCATCATATCCACCCGCTTCCACAACGGCCGAGTTGAAGCTCTTATAAAGTGGTATCCCTGCAACATCATTAATTGCTAGTTTTCTCTTCATTTGTTCTGTCACCTGCCTATAGCACCGATATATTCTAGACTTTGTCGGACTCATAGGATGGTTATGTTGTAGTTCCACTTTAGAAATCTCCCAGGAACCAACATAAGTTGTTCGTGCTCTTACGCGAGCTAAGCAATCCAATTGCATTGAAGCTTTAGGCTTCAAAGCATTTTGTCCCGTGCTACATCTACTTCCCGCACGTGAACACTCAAATACAACTGCCACTACATTTTCTCCACTTTTGTCCTTGGTAGAGCTTCTTTTGCGTACCGGAAATCCTAAACTCCTACCATATTTCTTGTAAAAATCATAAACAGCTTCTATTGTATCAAACTTCATGCCAACTTCGGGTGCTTGTACACACCCAACATCTCCTTCCTTAGCATGTCCTCCTAAATCTGTTATTAATTACTTGTCAACGAAAATGTGTCCATGCAGAAAATAAAAGTGTCCATGCCAACAAAAAAAGTGTCAATGCAGACAATAACGACCCATGCAGACAGTACAATGCACATACAGAGGCGATGATGTTGAAACAGACAGTATTGTGTATACAGACAAAGATTTAACTTCAATAAAACAAATTAAACAACTTCAAATGTGATAACATCAACAATAAACTCTTCCACAAAATGAATACATAATTGTTTACACATAATACATACCCACATAATTTTCAGTCAATACGGACAATAGTTGTCTGCACACAGACAAATGACTTATATTGAACTTCAACATGGCATCTTTAACAAACTTAAAAGGGCACAGGGACTGCATTTAGTAGTTGTCTGTGTGATGAAAAAACCTTCTACAGTACAGTACACATCATGAACTCATCTTGAATCAAATACAATAAGAATGAAAACGTAAGCAAAACTACCTTGCTCATCAACGACGTCCGTATAGTCTTGGTTGTGTTCTTCTCCATCGCCGGCCACTGGCGCGTCACTACCCACTACGCCGTCTCCATCGCCGACCACCGGCACGTCACTACAAACTAAGCCGTCTCCGGGACTTCCTTCCCCCGTCGGCAATGAAATACGGACATCACTCGATTCACACATGTTTGAAGCATCTGGCTCCATTAAAGGTGAAGACCGTCACTTACCTCCCTTGTGTGTTTAAAGAAAGGAGAAAAACGAGTAGGAACCCGCCAAACAAAGAGACAGAATAATCGAGCTGCACTGTCTGTGAAAGGGAGCAAACCGACTTAGTCTGGGCACGTGGGGTGGGGGAATTTTTTTTAAAAAATTTAAATGGGTATATAAAGGGGGTAAGGGGGTGTGTAAGGGGGTGTGTACGTATATAGCATTTCTCATAGTTCATTATACACCTAGTTCAGTAAAATTATAGCTCACTGGTTGCATGGTTGAAAAACACCGCCTCATTCCTAAAATTGCAATAGCAATTACGAGAAATTGCCTCATTGGCATTACTGCAGCCTTAAATGGGACAAAAATACGATGCATTTTTTGTATACATGGGAAAAGAAAAATACGTGATGCATTGTTTTTAGAGAAATCGTCAAAAATATTGCATGACGAGAAAAGAGCATAGAGAATGAACATTGAGTGTAACTATTATAATGTCCACAGTGCATATGTGTCAATGAGTGATAGCCACATAATTATTAGCAAATAAATTATTTCTCTACTTATTTGAATGATTTTATATAATTTTAGTAAGTTTTTCCCTGCAATGTCAACAACAATGTCAACATTAGACGGTCTCCTTGACATTGTGGAGAATAACTTACCAAAACTGTATAAAATCATTCAAATAAGGAGAGAAATAATTTATTTACTAACATTTATGTGGTCATCTCTCATGCCACGTGTGCACCGTGCACATTGTACCATTGAAGATGCTCTAACGGTAACGGAGATAAAACGGAAATCAAAGGGCAACAACGAAAGGTTTTGACATTTACCGACCTCATAAAATAGCATAAAGTACAACTAAGTATTGCCTTACGTTACACCAACACATTTTGCATTCCTAAATACTCCTAACCTTCATTCACACTTATAAGTTTGTGTATATATGTATATTGTATATAAGATAACGGAGATAAAACGGAAAGGGCAACAATGAAAGGTTTTGACATTTACGGACCTCATAAAATAGCATAAAGTGTAACTAAGTATTGTCTTATGTTACACCAACACATTTTGCATTCCTAAATAGCCCTAACCCTCATTTACACTTATAAGTGTGTATAAGATAACCCTCATTCCCTATAAGATATCGAGGGGGACGGAGGAGTGTTTCTTGAGGCTGACTGCAACCCTTGGGATGAAAAGACTATTTTGAGCTTTTGACCTCCCAAAACATGTTCAATCCATGTATTTTAAAGTGCTAGAGTCAATAGATGGCACCCCATGAGTGGGAATTAGGTAACCTTATTCACCTCACTCATTAACCTTTTCCTAGACGGAAGGAGAAGCAAGTAGTTGCCGCATCAAAACATAAAATGAGTCCCATTGAAAATATAAATATCAATTTTATTTAAAGTGTTATAACTTTTTTATTTATATTTCAATTTTTACAAAAAATATATTAAAGTTCTCAATTTTTTAATCTTTCATATATATGACACTAATATTACATATTATTCCCTTTTTTAATCACAACACATTGAATTTTACACTATTCGCATTCTCTACTTTAATTACATTTTACACTATTATTTATGAAAATTATTTTTTAAAAAAAATATTGTTCAATTCATCATCTCATTACAAATTTTGAAAATCTTTTTTTTAAATTACTAATAGAGAATAAAATATATTTACAATTAAAGATTTGTGTTGGCAAATGTGAATTGTTGACCGTTGCAACTAAAAAAGAACGGAGAAAGTATGTAAATTTATAAGGGAAAATATGAAGTCTCAATTGATGAAGGTTTTCAAATCCAAAATTTTTCTTAAATAGATTCAGGTGCTAAAATTAAGATCCTATAATTTATTTTTTTGGTCGTTAAACCAACAAATATATTAAATCAACAAAACGTTCGTCACTTGGTTGACAATACAATCAAAGAAAAAAGCAGGAAACAAAATGATAAAAAGCTTTTTGTCTGCCGCCCGCCCTTGAACCAGACTTAGAATCCATCACCTCTGTAGAAGTAATAACATTCACTGATCCGGTAATGGGCACTGAGTCAATGACTGGCAAACCAGACTTCTCATCACCTGACCTAAATTCTAGAAACTTTCTACTAGGAAATAAAAACATACTCAAAACAACATGCAATTCAAAAGAAAAACACAAACAAAATAAAACAGAATTAAACCAGAATTGTTTCATCTTCTTCCAAACCCTAGACTCTCTCGCACTCCATGGCAGCGGCTTAGGAGGGAGGCGAGTCCGCCATTCATCCGTCTCAATAGTCATGATTTTGTATTGATTGATGATATTCTCCATTAATATCCCTTGCTGTTGAATCAAACCCAAGCTCCGCCACAACTTATCCGCCTTTTCTTTGTCAACTCTCGTCCCTCGACCAGAAATAGCATCAGAAGTCAAGCCACGAGTACCAAAGCACTGCATCCCTGATCACGAGCCTGCTTGCACGACAAAAATCCACCGACGATCGCTCTTCGTCAATGATGAAAGCGGAATAACAAAACCCTAGAGAGGGAGAGAGCGCCTTTTGTTGGGAAAGATTAATTAAGAATATGATTTGTCATTTTTGAATCAAAGAAAATTGGAAGAAGAAAAGAAAAGGAGGCGGCTGTTAGGGTTTTTCCATTGCCGTTATGACTCATTAAGATCCCATAATTAAAATATTTTCTTGCATATTATTTTTATTTAAAAATAGCTTTCATGTCACAAAAATAAAATCAAACTCCAAATTTATTTATTTTTACATCCAGATGTGTAACTTTCTAAATCATAATTATTTGCTAAAAAATCGGGTTAAATTTAAATATAAAAAAAACTTTGTAGATTGAACATATTGACAGTGTTGTGTTAATAACAGAGCTGGATTGCAGAACCTAAAGCACGGACTACGAAGTAGTACATGTGATCAGTGTCCCGTCATTAAAAAATGGTGCGAGGTAAATGAAAAATGCTTGGTGTACGCATTTTGTACACTCGTCTGGCCAGACAATACTGTGTGCATGAGACAAACGAATGTACAAAAAGTGTACACCAAAATGTGTACACTTAGCACAACTCGAGGTAAATTGGGCCACCAAAGTCTACCCAACATGTACCAATTGGCAATAAGGCGCAAACTTCTATGCCAATTTATGCCGAGGTATATCAGCTACTACTAAAAAATCAGCTACTAAAAAAACCAGCTACAACTAGTGCTCTTTCACAAGATCGAGTTAGGCATGAAATGCATATCTTTGTAATACACTATACGAAGAATTTCCATAAAAGCACCAAAATGCAATAGCATACAAGCAAAATTAGGCAAAAACCGAAAAACTAAATAACAGTTCTTGATAATGCAGCTGCCCATCACATAGATAACTCCACCTGCAAAGAAAACATATGGAAAAATTTCAAATCCATCAATAATGTAGGCATCAAGATAATTAGAATCTAAATTTAGAATAAACTGATCCAGACATAAGCTCACCTGAAAAGCCGTAGCTGAAATTTTACCATAGGAAAATATGTACAATAAAATTACACAGCGTTAGGTGATCCGGAAGCAAGAAGGCCGAGCTGCTCAGTAAGATGATTCACATTATTTACTCTGTCCCATTCAACTTCTCCTGCTGTCATATCATCATCTTCTTCCACTCCACCATCACACTCCAACAAAATGGAGTTAATATCATCGGTGTCTCCGGCCAAAGGGCTTGCAGAAAGAATGTGATCCCAGAAGACATCATTAATCCCAGGAAGCTTTGGCATCTCATCAATCAAAACATCAATGTCGGGGTCAGAAGAAAACCCATCTGACACGACTGGATCCATATTGTTTACGACTGGTTCCATGTTGTTAACGACTGGTTCCATGTTGTTCACGACTGGTTCCATGTTGTTCACGACTGGTTCCATGTTGTTATCAATAGCAAAACCTGCCATTGTGTTCATCTCCGGGACTTGAGTAACTTCCGAAGCCAAATCAGGAGTTGAGGGAATATTAGTTGTTGCTAGTGGTACCTCAGACAGACTAACCCCAGAAATTTGATTTGTCGTATTAATGCTGTTATCAGTCAAGAAACCACTAGTACCATTAAATTTCGGTTCCAGCCTAGTAGATGAGTTTAATTTCAAGATTTGCCTTAATAGTGATTTTGCTGCTTCGTTCATCAAAGGCTGAAACCTAACAATTTGTCCATCAGGCAATGTGGAAACAGGCTTAACATTAAAACTTTCTTCTCCCTGGTTTGGAAGTCTCCTTTTCTTATTAACTCCAGAAATGAGCAAACTGTCACCCTGTTGATGAACCATCTGGGCTACAAAACCTGGGCTTTGCATAGCCTTAGCGAGAAATGACATCATCTGCTGTTGTCGCTGTTCCATCAGATGAACCTTCTGCCCAACATTCTGCAATTGGTTGTCAGTTGCCTGTTGCTGTTGTCTCAATTTGACGAGTTCCTGCATGAGTACATTCTTATCTCTTTTGAGCCTGTCAACTTCTTCCTCCAGCCCGGGCTTCCCGACTTCTACACATGACCTGACCGGATCAGCTTGGTGGACTTGAGGAGGGGTTGTTGGTGGTGGCGGTTGATGATGATGAGCCTGAATGTGCTTTCTACGGGTTATACTCTTTAAGAGGTGTTTACTGCCTCTTAGAAAGCCCTCATTAGCAAATTCCCAGCGATCAGGGTGGACTTTCCTGAACCCCTGCTTGCCCAAAGAGAAAAGCAGACACTATAACCATCAAGATATATGGGATGTCCTGTGAACAGATTACCCAAAGAAAATACCTTATAAAAGCGCTGTAACGAAGTCCTTCCTACCATCTAATAAGCCAGTGATGTTTTGGTAAATCTTAAAACACGATCATCCAGTAATTATTACTACTATTTCAATATTTAAGAGAAGGACGAATGCAACACCAACCAAATACCTATACCGAAAATTTCAATTGTTTATCTAACCAGTTAAGGAGTAGTTAGTATAATCCACACTGCTAATACATAATACCAGAGGTATCAGGTTAAGTTTGCGCTACTGGATAATTTAAGAAGCTGGTACAGTTGATTTTCACAATGATCAAGATCAAACTAGCAGAATTGATTTTTCAAGCCGATCGAGGCAAAACTAGCACAATTTACTCCCCTATTTCCCACAGAGATCGAGATGAAATGGCATATTTAAAAACCAACAATAAAAGATCATTTTAATCAGTGATTAGGGTTCAAACTAGACAATAACAGTGAAAGGAGTCTATACTAGTACAAAAGCAGAAAGACCAAAAACAAAAGGGAGATAAGATGACGGCGGCGATACTAACATAAGTGTTCAATTGTCTGACGAAACTGGAGAAATTGTTGTGCTTGAAGTACTTGGGCAAGATGACTTTGGCGAACTCGGGGACGTTCCACACAACGAAGCTGTTATTGGTCTCGGTCCAGGACACGACGGCGTCCGTGGACGGATCCTCCACCATATCGTACGTCTTGCTGAGGAATGGCGGGGGGGAGTTCCCGACGGGCATAGCGACGATTTCCTGACCGCCGTCCATAATCAACAAAGCCCCGATCGCTATTCTCAGTTCAGTAGAGTCGCAGGAGAAATGTGGAGGCGAGAGAGATCAATGAAGAAGAGGCATAATGGAAACGGATAGAGAGCGGTGAGATGTCAGATAAAAGGCAGTGAAATGAAGCGAGGAGAGCGACAGGCGGTGGTAGTGAGAGAGAAGTGGACTGCAGATTTTGTTAATTTACTATTCAGTACTCATTCTTTCTATTTCCGCAAAAGAACCATCTAATTTCATGCTTTTATATTTCAATTAGGGAAAATATGCAAATGTATTCTTGTTCTTTAAATGGAGGTGCAGATATGTCTCTCAAATTTGAAAAAGTGCACATATTGTCAATATATTATTATTATTTTTTTGAAAGAGTGAATATATTAATTTTGAAATTTCAAATTTTAAAACTAAAAAAATCATTTTGTGTGAGGCAATATTAAAGGAGGCGTGAATGTGGCTGTAGCTTTTGGAAACAAATCCAAGGTTCAAGAAACGATATTCATGTCTTCTATGGAAGATCTAGAGTAACGTTGTCTCATTCCTGCAGTTGAAGAGATGGTCGAAGGGTTATTTTCTGACGAATCAACATAGGTAGAGGGCTATGGTGGTAGTGGAGTCTGAACGACTGACAAGAAGACGGGGAGAGCTGAAGGGCTAACTAAGGGAGAAGACATATCGGCGGTCCGCCCCCTCCTGAACCGTCACCTTGGAGCGATTGAGGTGCTAGAGTTTGGAAGATTTATCAGTTATTAATTTTTATGGTTTTATTTTTGCGTTATGTTTTATGTTGCTCTGTTTTTTGTTGATGTCTTTAGTTTTAGGTCTACAATTATGATTGACAGTTCTGCTAGATATTATGTGGCTAGAAGCATCTGTATGACCAGTGATTGCTGTGTCACACCCGCTTGGTGGTTAGCAATTCGTATTGCTCTTTCAGGGGTGATCGTCTCTGAGTCTAGCCGTAGGGTTGATAATGCTAGTTGGTTAAAGATAGTTGTTGTCAGTGTTGATCTTTTGTAGTTTGTTGTAACGATCTGATTCCTAATGATATTAATATAAGAGGTTTGTTTTGATGATAAAAAAAAAATGTATCAAAATTTAATATTGTCTAATACGAAGTATAGTGTTGAGGTTAAGTCATCGCGTTCAAAGGTCCAACCTAATCCTTTGGGCTTTTGTAAAATCTTTTATGGATTTTGTATATTTAGCGAGTGATTTAAGAAATAATGACTGCAAAAGCAATAAGATTGGGAAGAAGGTAAAGTGAACCATGTTCTATTAATGACCTTAGAACGATTACAGCACACCCTTACCGAGCCCAAACCTGGATCTTTTAATTCTAATTGAGAATTACAGAAGCATCCAGAGAGAGAAGGTAAGCTATTGAATGCAAGTTTGTCAGCCCCTTTATAGTGAAATAAATGTAAATGTTTACACTACCAAGTAGTGCGTGATGGTGGTGGCGCGGTGAGCCATGAGTGACTGACCCCAACCATAAATTATTCACTGGTGCATTAAATGTGATTCTCGCTATTTCCTTGATTTCCCGCAAACACACTAGTGGAGCAGGCCGAGTATCCGAAGATAGCAACCTAAGAACTCATCAAGTGTTACACACACCCCGCTCGACCAATGTCACTCGGCTCATGCTGCCCAACTCATGTCGTTGGGCCTACTGGCCCGCTGGCGGTATCTTGGCATGCCCCCTGATGGACCTAATACCCCAACAACGTATTGACACAATATTTAAAAGAAAATATTACGAGTAATGAATAATGTAGAAAAAACATACATGAGAGATAGTGAAAAGTATGAAAAAGAAGATAAAAACTAGAAAATGAAATGATAATTCAATTATTTTAAAGGGAAAATATACCAAAGACGTAAAGTGTATCAAAAATTATAATTAATATATACATCCCAAAAAGGAAGGTGCAACAAACAAAAGAATAGAAGGGTGTATTTTTATTGTTCTAAAGTCTTGAAGGATTGTTTGCTCCTTGATAAGGACATTAAGAGTATTTTCACACTCTTAGAAACTTAAAGGGCATATCTCCCCTCTCACCTAAACATCTGGTAATGATCCGGGACGGTCTAATATTTAGTTGAAACCGGACACATATCATAACTATTTTAACGGTACAGAACGGTTCATCTTGGAACAAAAAAAATTCTATACGATTTCATTTTAAAATGGGACGATATCATGTCTACCAATGTCAAATAATGTCATACTTGAAAACTCACACAATCGATCAATTTTAAAGAATATACGTTGAAGTATAAATTATTTAAAATCATATACATGCATGTTACTATAAATAAACCTCCATACTTTTTTTTTGCTCGAAATACTAAGTTAATTGTCACATTGCACAAGTAAAGTTTAGAGTGTAGTGTATTTAAATGTTGTGTATATATGCTAATGAAAATAATTTTTTGAAATAATATAAAAATAGGTAGGATCTTATACCAACGAAAAAAAATTGGTCCCCCTTAACAACGTACGTGTGGAGTATGGAGGTTTATCTCCTTGTGGAAATAAATGATAATTAGATAAAAACGCTTTTAGGTTATTTAAATAATTACTTATAATAGAAGTGCTCTAGAAGAAGGGTTTGGTAAATTAAAGCCTAAGTAGTGCCACATCAATAGAAAATTATTTGACTATAAGAAAATGATTAATCTTCAATTTATTTTAAGATAAAAGGTCAAATAGGTACACAATCTTATTCCGGTACAAAATTCCTACTAAAAGGCCTTATACATTTTTCATTTGATAATAAATAATGATACAAAAAACATTTTTTCTTCACATTTATAAACTTTATGCGTGTGGATAGTAAAAAGGTATGCGTTTTGCAAATAATAAATAAAACCATATATGAAAATTTAGACGTTTTATGCAAGACTACTGACAGTCTGACACAGTAGTTGTCTTTCTTAATCAACTTCGATTGAACTTGATTCTTTAGACTTCACACTTTAGAGAGTTGTATATTAAAAAAATATTGGCTAATGGTCGTCAATTCTGCTAGCTATTATGTCATCAGAAGGATCTATATGGTCATTGATGTTGTGTCACGCCCGTTTGGTGATTAGCGATTCGTATTACTCTTTCAGATATGATCGTTTCTAAGTCTAGGGGTAGGGTCGATAGTGATAGTTGATTACGGATAGTTGTTGTTAGTTGGTCTTTTTGAGTTTGATGCAACAATTGGATTGCTAATAATATTAATATCAACAATTTTTTCTTTCGAAAATATATGCAAATACATATCCCAAACAAATATGCTTAATTGCCCCGACTGGTTTTCTTGTAAAAGATTGAGATATGTTTGTGGATTTGAAATGCTACGGAGTACATTTTGTCTAGAACTTCAAAATATTAAACCAAGTGATAATTAATAAATTGAATACGGAGTATTAACATAGTAATTACTTAACAAAACTATTATTGTTAAGTTAAAGTAGTTGGAATATAATTCATTGATTCATATTTGGTCGTTCACAAAATGTAAGAGTAACATTATATGAAAAGTGATTAGGGCAGAAAATGGAGAAAACAAAGAAAGTGAGAAACATTGAAAGATTAGATTAAATGTTCGGTGCTGAACTGCTGATTATGCTCATTCAGAGAAGAAATAAAGAACTATGGATAATATTATGTAGAGCAACTATCTCTATAAGAAAGATAACGACAATAGAAAACGAACCGAAGATATAAAATACAAAACATATGTTTACAAGCTTCAATAGATCAAAGACTCAAGACAAATCTTCATGTCAGACCGGCCTGACGGGATGCTCCTTCCGGATGAGCCCGTTTGGGAACCTTCCCGGTGGAATTTTTTAATGAAATTTTTTGAGCATGTTCCTCATCAAGTCTAGTTTGTCCATACCAAATTTCAGCTCAAAATTCGATCGGGAAGACATTCAAATCATTTTTTGAAGTTGACTGCAGTTTTAAATGTATATTTTGACGCAGTCAACTTCAAAAAATGATTTGAATGCCTTCCCGATCGAATTTTGAGCTGAAATTTGGTATGGACAAACTAGACTTGATGAGGAACATTCTCAAAAAATTTCATCAAAAAAATCCACCGGGAAAGTGCCCAAACGGGCTCGGCCGGACGGAGCATCCCGTCAGGCCGGCCTGACAAGAAGACCACTCAAAGACTCAATATGCTAGTTTTTCCAGTCTGACATAATTTTTAGAATGTAAATATATTAAAATTCAGGTGTTACTTTTCACAGATTCGTTTTGATATCCACCTGGCACTCAAATCACAAATTGTTATTAATAATATCACTAACTATTTTACTCCTAAGTGAACACAACAGTCATGTCTTTAGTCTGAAAACTATAGCATTTGACTTTCGAGTTCAAATTTGATAAATGTCCTAGGGGTCAAGACTCAAGACCTAAGTAATTCCTTGCGTTTAATGTGAGTTTGTAGAAGATATCTTTTAGAATTCATTGTCCAACAACCCCAACATTCTTTTTTAGTAGTCCAACAATCTTATACGTACTACGTAGTATCAACTGTAGAATTCCTTGCGTTTACCTCCTACATTTTCTTTCAACTTTTTTTTTCTACCTTTTATTTAGTTCCCCAAGAATGTTACGGAGTACTCCAACCGACTAACAATGGGACAAGAGGGAGTGACACGCAAATCTATAAAAAGTGTTTTATGTGGTTGATATTGAATTGATAAAGTAAAAATTATTTAAAGCCACACAAACTTTAACAAATAAGTTATGAGACAATCTTAATAGGACGGACCGAAATGGTAATAAAATGAGACAATCTTAGGAGGGTAGAGGTAATATTACTTATGGCTTGTCACTTCACCAAATGCATTAAAATTTCACAAAAAATTTTAAGCAACTAATAACCCAAATCAAACCGAGTATGTGGCCTGGGCATACTCGTTTAATGGAACCGGTAGCTCTTAAAATATATAGGTAACCCGGAACATGCCCACCCATAATATAGATATCTTTCATACAATACAAGTCGTTTGCAATTTGCATAGTTGCCTTGACCTTCTGCATCAGTGCATTTACCGAAACAAATTTAGCTACAAAGTTACACGAGTTATACATGGTCAAGGTTACACCAAGCATTTGTATCACGGAAAAAGAATTCTTCAGCGACTCAGCAG